ACGGTCAATTACCGTTATTTGAGATTATACGCTCTATAAGTAAACAATATATTTGAACACAAGTGATCAAAGATTTCACAGAGCTAGAAAGTAGAAACACTTTTGCTGCTGAAAAATTTCAGATCATGTTCAAAAGCCTTACATAGGACATAACAAATCTGTTGCATTCGGTATAATTTGGCCCGGCATGACAAATCAATTTTGAATATTTTGAACATGTGTTTGTGTGAATGTGGATATTTTATCACCATCCTTATCGAAAACTTAGAATGCAAAAAAATTATAGAAGAAAAAAATAACTAAAAAAATATATTGATAATATGTAATAATTTTTCTGATAATATTACAATGCATATTTGAGAAATAAAATTACACAGACCTTTCTGCAGCAACTGCAGTCTCCATAGAGCTTAATAAAAATATGTTGTGCAAACTGTTTTGATTTTTGCTTAAAAAATGTTTATAGATGCAACTTATGCTCACACATAAGAAAATTATGCTGAGATGTTTCAGGAAACAAATAAAAATTAAGCTGCAAAATTAATTTAATTGTTGCATTCAATAAAGCTTTCATTTTGTTGTTTTGGACCATTTGTTAACACGAGCACTTGCTTTTTGTGCCTGCAAATTTTACCCCCCAAAAAAAAAAAAAACATCATCAGTAAATTAAAAACAAATCAATGATATATACAAACATATGTAACATACTAATTTACCTCTTTTTCCCAGTCACATCCTATCACGATAAAACATAAGATCAGCGTCTGAACCGACGTTCCTCCAAATATCATACCGGCCCAAATTCCCTGAAAAAAACAAGAAAAAATAAGGTTTAAATCAATTAATTTTGATATTTCTTTGCATAACAAAAGAAACAAGGTAAAGGAAATTAGTAATTAGTGATTACCATGACACCGAATTTGAAAACCCAACCCATTAAAATCCCAAGTGGAACCCCTATGCAATAGTAACATCCCAAGTTTATGTATGCCACGTAGGATTGCCAACCCGATCCGACCGCAACACCTAAGTCAAGAAGAGTCAAACGTCAACACAAAGATGTTGACTCG